TCAAAGTCCGGGCAAAAAGGATTATTTGACTGTTTTGTTTCGGGTTTCCTTCGGCGTCGGATCCCGGGTTCAGCACAGGCTCCCAAACGCCGGGATGTCTGCGCTTGACTCGACGTCAGAACCAACAAAGTTACTTCTAATTGCAATGTATTTATGGACACTTTAAACAATGAACCAATAATGTGGCAAGTGGTCCAGACGCTGAATGTAAATTACTGCTGTTATCAGATCTAAACGCGTCACGTATAAATCGGACAGACATGTGTGTATATATTTTGTTACTACATATAGATTTTTACACAGGCATTCAGTAATATATATATATATATATATATATATATAATATATATATATATATATATATATATATATATATATATATATATATATATATATATATATATATATATATATATATATATATATATATATATATATATATATATATATATATATATATATGTATATATATATACATAAATACATTATATATATATATATATATATATATATATATATATATATATATATATATATATATATATATATATATATATATATATATATATATATATATATATATATATAAACATTATATAGATATATATATATATATATTATATATACATATACATATATAATAATATATTACATATATACTGTATATTCATATATGCATGTCTGTAATAGCCATATATTATTCTCCAACAAACGGTTAAAAAATAGATTTCGGATATCAACACCAGCCACATATCTGCACCGTGAGAAAATTTCCAATACCGTTAAAACCATTATTCACAGAGAGAGAAAGAGAGAGAGAGAGAGAGAAAAAAAATTCTCTCCGACGACCCAAGTCATGAAAACCGTCGCAATAGAACGCCCCCCCCCCAAAAAAAAAAAAAAAATAAATAAATAAAAAAAAAATAAATAATAATAATAATAAAATAAAAAAATAAATAATAATATACGAATAAAAATGCGACACCTCTCAGAACGACTCGTTAGAGAAGCGCCGAGCGAAACGACACCAAACGGGAGTCTCGGCTTGGGACTTCGAGCGCCGAGGGGATGGCGTCTTCGGCTCGAGGTGGACAGATAGAGAGAACTTCAACGCGACATTCCCTCTAGGCTCCGGCGGGGGAGAGAGGAGAGAGAGAGAGGAGAGAGAGAGAGAGAGAGAGAGAGAGAGAGAAGAGAGAGAGAGAGAGAGAGAGAGAGAGAAGAGAGAAGAGAGAGAAACAAGGAGATAATGTCGAGAGGAAAGATCGTTCTCGTCAAAATTCAAGTGGAAATTACTCCTTTTTCTAACCATTCTGTTTACCTTTCGTCCGGAATTTCCGTTTCCACGATATTATTCCTTCCTCTCTTTGTCTGTCATTTTTTCTCTCTCATCCTCTCCCCCTCCCCTCTCTCTCTCACCCCCTCTCCCTTCCCCTCTCTCTCTTCACCCCCTCTCTTCTCAGCCTTCATCCCCCATATCTCTCCACATCCCACAGATCCCAATCCCCACCCTCCCCACGCCCCACGCCCCCGACCCCTGGCGACGTCTTCTTCAGGAGGACCTCCATATTCCTGCTGGTAATCGCTGACTCACCGAAGACCCATTAACAGAAGGAGGACGAATATAATAAAACTCTTAACCCGTTAACAGATCGGTTGTGTTATAATTATAACTGCTGTCAACACACTCAATTAGGCGAATAACAGAAGGTTGATGAAATAAAAATAAATATATGAGCAAAATGAAAATAATGGAGGTCATCATTTTCAGTCTTGTTGGAATGCTACATACTCGAATTTCTAGGATGTGGCTTGATACTGACGTTATCATTATCATCAAGGGTATTATCGTTATCGTTGTTATCTTTTATTTGTTGCTACTGTTGCTATCATTACTGTTGTTATTGTTATCATTTTTTTCATCATGACATTATTATTGTCGTTATCATTATTATGATTATCATTATTATCAGGATATCATAGTTATTATGATCATCATTGCTGTTATCATCATTACCGTTATTGTCATCAGTGTTATGATTACAGTTATTTTTACTGTTCTTAGTATTGTCACTATTGCCCTTATCATTATTAATCATATAATAAATATTATTATTGTCCTTATTACCATCATTATAAAACTGTCAACACATCATCAGTGTTATTATTATTATTACCATTATTAATATTACATTTTTCATTATTACTGTCACCGTCATTATAACAGTTATTATTATAATAACTATTATCATCATAACTATTATTATCATTATTATTATTATTATTATTATTATTATTATTATTATTATTATTATTATTATTATCATTATCATTATCATTTTATTATTATTATTATTATTATTATTATTATTATTATTATTATATTATTATTATCATTATCATTATTATTATTATTATTATTATTATAATTATTATCATTATTATTATTACTATTATATCAAAAAGAAATTTAACAAACGCTCTAACCTTACTTGAACATCTATCGTCCACCAAGATCTCAAGTGAATTAAAATAATTTTCTTTTTTTGAATTAAAATAATAAATTATGTGCACATCAAAATAAAAGACCTAAGCATGAACAGAGATCAGGATGGCATCCCAAAAATGGAGATCTATCAGCAAAACTATTCCTAAAATGTGTGTGTGTGTGTGTGTGTGTGTGTGTGTGTGTGTGTGTGTGTGTGTTGTGTGTGTGGTGTGTGTGTGTGTGTGTGTGTGTGGTGTGTGGTGGTTTGGGAGCTACTGCATACGAATAACAAAGCTATCCAAAAGATATATAAATAAATAAATATATATATATATATATATATATATATATATATATATATATATAGATAGAGAGAGAGAGAGAGAGAGAGAGAGAGAGAGAGAGAGAGAGAGAGAGAGAGAGAGAGAGAGAGAGAATTCAGATTAGGCAGACCTTCTGTTCCGAAATTGCACGCTATCTAATCCCCTGTCAGATTACATGGAGATTTCTTGACCTGCCTAGTGACATCTGCCAGTTTGGGGATTTCGAAAGCAGAGTGTGAAATCTTAGAAGTCAGTTAAGCGGGACAAAACTGCAATCATATTTTTTTTTTTCCTTTTTTTATGTGATTGGGGAATATTCTGCTCCAATTTATTTTTTTTCTATCTTGTGTATTTCTTTTTTTTTTTTGATACGGTAGATTGTTATAATGATAATAAATAGTAAAGAACACCTGTACATACAAATCTATCTTAGCCAATGCGCAGAACATATCATCAAAAGAAAATAAACTTGAGTCTTACATTGTCTCAAAATTGCCGATATGATAATAGTATTATTACAAAGTTGTGAAATATTAAATGAATATTTTTTCTATATTATTTTGATATTCCCTAAAAAACAACAACAACATATTGGTAGCCACCGACTACCATGCACTGAGACAATCATATTGTACAAGAATATTTATCCACAACTGTTAATAAGATATTTTATATTATCACAATTTTCAAAAGCAAAATTGTAACATGCCTAAAGAATTAATATCGTTCAGAGAAGGAATATAAGCCAATGCGTGCATACATACATACAGAGGGTAATGCATAATACGTAAAAAGTGTCATATATCCATCATAAAACCTTATTTCGGTTTCATATTGTAATAACTCGCTATCATTTTAGCCGAGAAATCCATCGACCATTTCTGGATTGGATCTTATATAAATAGGTTTTGCAACGTTAAAAAATGTTTTAAAATAAATGCTTATTTGACTATCTGCCTCTTCAGATATATCAAAGTGTAAACAAAAAAAATAAAAAAAAAAAAAAAAAAAAAATGAAAATGTAGCATCGTCATTACATTTCAACAATCATGTCAGTTACAAATATTTAAGACAAACTGCTTCCTAAAATCCTATCTATGGATGAAATTATTTCAAATTTCTTTTTGTTCTAAATCCTGAAATATTTCGGCGTTTTTATCATATTTTCACTGCACATTTTATCCTCGCCAATTTCCATATACATATTTTGTTCCAACCTCAGTGGTGTATAACATAACATTCAATCTATTACGAAAGTGAGTTTATATCACTAAGAAGATTACGAGAACTATAATCCATTGACTGAAATAATCTTTCTTATTGTTTCAAATTTAATTCAGCAAAGTGTCGCCCGGACAAGGGAATCTTATGTAATCATTTCAACGCCTCCGTAATATCACACATCACAGGATATTAAATTTTTAGAGAGAGCCATTCACTGCAGAAGACACATTATCTTAAAGGTTCCAGCCGAGGCATGAGATAATTACACTATATTATCCAAAGTCAAATTTTTCCTCCCTCTTTATAAAGCCGAAAGTTGAACGCTAACCATCTCATTTTTGTCGATAATGACACCCCCGTTGACAAGGTCCCATCAGGGCCCTAGTTAGCTGCATAATATCAATTATCTCCCGGTCGCTAATTGCCCCCAGTGTCACCTGGAATGTGGTCCCCGTCGGCTAATATTTTCGGAGTGGCAAGTCTCGGCCCTTAAAGAGGTGTCGAGGGGGAGAGGCGGCGCGAAGGGGCGGCCACAGGGCGAGAGAGAGAGCCGCGTGTCGGATCACCTCGTTGCAGGAGTCCGTTGTGTGTCATATGATCTCTCGGTGTGTCACCTCTGTCCGCCGAGGTGTCACACGGCGTGCTTGTGTCGTGTGGGGTTCTGTGGCCGCTCCGACACGCTCGCGACCAAGCACGTCATTTGAGCCTGTTGGCGAGCCTGGCCTGCGGAGGAGGCAGGCCGAGGGGGCGCAGGCGGCGAAAGTGGTGTGTCGCCGCCAATTCCGAACTCAGGTATGTGTGTTGGAAGGGCACCCCCTCCCCCTGCCTTCCGCCCCGGCCCTGTCCCCAAGCCACCTACACGATCGCCAGTGTCCGCTCCCTTCCCTCTCTCCGCCTCGTCCTCCCTGGTTTGGCGTCCTCCTCCCACTCCCTCTCGCCTTCCCCCGCGACGCCTGGGCACTTACCTTTCTCATGGCTATCCGATTTGAATCTGTCTGTGTCGTTGGGCTTGGACTCGACGCCCAACATGTTTGAGGACGAAAGGGGAGAGGCGCGTCGATTGTCACTCCCGTGTGCTCGTCACATTCCCGACCAATGTCACTGTCGCTCGTGGCGTGAAACACTCACTCGGTCACCAACACTGCTCATAGCAAGGCCGTGTCACTGCCTCACATCACAGGCTCCCTTGGGGGTCACACCACTGTAAGCTCTCCAGCTCGAGCTCGCGATTATCCTTGGATCAAAACACACCGAAGTGGCAAAAGGTAGAGTAGAGAGAGAGACTGCTGTACTTGTGGCAAAGGTGGAGTTTGCCAGGTAGCGCGGAGCGAGGAACTGACTTCGTAGCGGTGTACACTCGCCACCTGGTCGCTCAGAGCCTGCCGCTAACTCCGCCTCTTGGTGACACTCAAAACACTCTGTGCACGGACCCTTCGACGTGTGCACGGCCTGTCACAACACTTTTCTCCCCACACCCACGTGCACACCAACAGTACACCGCTGCGTCCGTCGTGCACAACG